CTTGGTAAGTGATGCTAGTATCATTCCCATTTCCCGGGTCTGAAGACTGGGAGGTGTAGATGGTTCTTCCTTTTTTTTTTTTTCCCCACATGTAGTCATTCATCAAACCACAGCAAGACTATTTCATATCCCTTATTCTGTCCCTATCTTTTCTTTCCCTCTTACCAGTGTGTTAGCCAGGTGATTCTTCACCACAGTGTGTTTATATTGGTAAAGTACTAATGTTTGCAAATAGTTTTTATCTTAAAGAAAAACTAGAAGAATAGTCCTGTAAATATCACTTTCACCGATTTGCATTCCACTGAACTTTTACAAGTGGAAGAGAAAGCAGTAGTATTAAAGCTAGTGCACCAGAAATTACAGTCCACAGATCACCTGTGAAAATATTTTGTGAATGTAAATGTCATCCATTTTGCATGTTTTCAGTACAAGTTGAGAACCTCTGAGTTGGTTAAATACAGTTACACTTTATAAAAATCCATATTGCTGAAGTTTCAGTTCTCATTAAGTCATTCTTGCCAAAGATTTCTGACATCCATATCTGATCATGGTAGTCTCCCAGTGACTCTGCATTGCACGTAAAAGAAACTATCAAGTACTTTGCATGGTATGCTGGATATTTATGATTTTGCTTCTGTCTGTCTGGCGTCATCTCCAGCAAGGCTTTCTCTCCATACTTTCATGCTTTTGCATGTGCTGTTCTGTTTGTCAGGAATGTGCTTCCTGTGATTTGTCTGAGAGGCAAACTACTTCTTTGAAATCTCATCACACATGGGGCTTTTCTGTGCAGCTGACTTAATTTTCTTCAACAGTACTCCCATTGTGTTTTTTAATAGTTTTCATAATATATTATAATCGCCTTATATATCTTGGTTTTGTTTTATGTTTTTAGCTCCTTAAGAACTAGTACCATGCCAGATGCGGTGGCTCACACCTGTAATCCCAGTACTTTGGGAGATCGAGGCCCAAGGATTGCTTGAGCCCAGGAGCTCAAGACCAGCTTAGACAACATAGAGAGACCTCATCTCTACAAAAAAAAAATCAAAAACTTAGCTGGATATGGTGGCATGCGCCTGTAGTCCCAGCTACTTGGGAGGCCAAGGTGAGGAAGGATCGCCTGAGCTCAGGAGGTCAAGGCTTCAGTGAGCCATGATTGTGCTACTGCACTCATGCCTAGGCAACAGAATGAGACCCCGACTCAGAAAGCAAAAAACTAGCCGGGCTCGGTGGCTCAGCCTGTAATCCCATGCTTTGGGAGGCCGAGGTGAGTGAATTGCCTGAGCCCACGGGTTCGAGACCCGCCTGGGCAACTTGGCAAGACCTCATCTCTACAATAAATCAAAAAAATTAGCCAGGCATGGTAGCACACACCTGTAGTTCCAGATACTTGGAAGGCTGAGGCGGAAGGATCGCTGGAGCCCCAGGTCGAGGCTGCGGTGGCCAGGAGCGGCCACTGTACTCCAGTCTGGGTGACAGAGTAAGACTCCAACACACACACACAAAAAAACACTGGAACCTTGCCCTTTTACCTTTATATTCCCAGCTGTTAGCATGGAATCTGGTATAAAGTAGGTGCACAATAAGTATTTATTGAACAAACTGAAAATGAGTTTCTTCCAAAATGTTAAATTAGCCAGAGTGTTTTTATGTTATAGTATGAGTTGAAATTAAAGAATTGAAAAAGACTTGTGATGACTCTGCATCCCATGTTTCCTGGAGCAGTTGCAATTTTAAATAGTCTGCTTCATTGACCTTTGAGTATAAATGTAGATAACATGATATACCATAATATTTTGTTTAGAAATACAGTATTCATATTGAACCTATACCTTATTTTTATAATATATATATTATATATAATATAATTTATTTTTATAGTTTGATTTTATGTATTTGTTAAAAGAAAAACTTTCGGCAAATTAAACAGTTTAATTGACCAAAGAACTATTTGTTAATGAAGCAGCACCCAGAACGAGGATAGATTCAGAGTGACTTGGGTGCTGCCACATGGTTAGATAATTTTATGGATAAAAAGAGGAAAGTGGCATACAGAAAACAGAAGCAGGGTACAGAAACAACTAGGTATTTATATCTTGATAGTTTGCCTTATTTGAACATGGTTTTGAATAGTTGGCTGTGATTGGCTGAAACTTTGTGATTGGTACAACTTTCAGTCTATTTATATATCCAGTTAGGTTGCATTTCACTATGTGTCGAAAAACCCTTAGAATGAACCTAAAATATGTAAGGAGGCAGCTTTAGGCTAAACCTAATTTAACATACTTAATGTCTTTTTTCTAATACAGGTCACTTTCAAAACAATAGTAGGTAGTGAAAAATTGAAATTTAGGATGGAAGAATGCCTGAATATTTTCTTAGCTCTGCCATCTTGCTGTGAATTTTGGGACTAATTATTGCATATCTATATATGAGTATTAATGAATATGAATTATTGGGAATTTAGAAATCCTTAGGAATAAGGATCCTCACAGTAAGATTAAGGTTGTAAACAACAACTGCATTCTCAAAGCTAACTTTAGGATGCTAGGATAGTAGCTCTCAATGTTCTTAGACTTTACTATTCTGATGTCATTTATTTGATTTGGGAACCCCAATTTTACTTCCTTACTCTTCTTTTAAAGGCATATTATTTATCTGTCTAGGTTAAACATAATTTTGTTTGTAAATTCATGGGTACCCCAAGGTAATTGGAGATTACAAAGCATATTGATATGGATTTTTCAGGTCAGCCTGGACTTTGAGAATATCAGCTCAATGGGTTGGCCAGCCAAGCTCCAGAAAGGCTGGTAAGCCTAACACCAGAAGTGTTGGCTCTAATGGGCTGGCAAGCCAAACTCTGAGAGTGTTGCTGATTTGGTGGCTGGCAAGTCTAGCCCCCGGAGTGTTGGCTATAATGGGCTGGCTAGCCAAACCTTGAGAGTGTTGCAGCCCCTAGAAGTGTCTCAGCTTTGGAGTCATACCTTGTTCCAGCAGCTTTCGCGGTTCTGTCAGCTCCACTGGCTGACAAGCCAGCCTCCAAGGTACATGGCTCTTCTGTTCTGATGATCTTCTGCAACTCTTCAGGTTGGGGCTCTTGTCTGGAGCCCAGGAGGAATGAGGGACACAGACAGTTGGAAGTGAGAAATCAGGATTTATTGAGAGGACAGAAAAGCTCCCACAGTAGGAGGGCACCCAAGGGGGTTGCCAGTTTGGAGCAGATATCTGATACTTATATAGCCCTAAGACTGAGGCAATTGGCTAGCACTAGCTGTGAGCTGATTTGTCGGCATTAGCTGTGCTGATTGGTCAGTACTGAGGACCAATCAGCAGGAGGAATGGTGAACTGATTGGTCGTTTTTTCTATTCCAGCAGTGAGTACTTAAGCTCTACCTTGAGAGGCTCACAGGGAACCTTGTTTACCAACGTGATGTATCAGGGGAGAGACTTGAGGGGTAGTTCGCTACATTGTTACCAAGGGACCTGCCCTGTGTGTCTGCCTAACTTTTCTCTGGTTATCTCCTTTCTCTGTATCACATGGCCATGGAGGATAATCAAAGGTGAAAAATGCATTTGCCAGTCCTTTTTCTTTTTCAGAATTCCCAGTTAGGGTCCAGCGTTGGTTCTAAAATATCGTTCTGACTAAAGAGAGGAGACATGTTGGCAAAATAAAAAGAGTGAAAAGTTTAGAGCCAGAATAATTGGGTATAAATCTTGGTGCTATGACCTACTATGTTTCTTTGTGTAAATCAGTTTCTTTGAGCTTCACTTTCCTCATCTATAAAATGAGGTAATAACTACCTGAAACGGTTATGGAAATTAGTAGTTTCTAGGACAGTAGTACCTAATAAGTAATAAGTTCTTTATAAATTGTAGCTCCTATCTGGCATCAATAAAACTTTGGGAATAGGCAAAGCATCTTTCTGCTACAATAAACACAGTGATTTGTCATATTGAATAGTTGTTACCCTATCTCTGTTTTCCCAAGCAGTTTGCACTTTAAGACTTTAATAACAAAGTGGTTTACAGATGGCACAGATCAATAAGCAGAGTCAATGATTATTGTCTCTTGCTCCAGGAGATTATGGATGTGATCTCCTTCACTGCTATTCCTAACATGCCAATTAGAAAACCATATGAATCTCTTTTCTGCATTATAGAACAAAGAGGAACTTTCTCAGCCTCCAGCCATTGCATCTACAAACCTACTTCCTAGAGTGCTGTTCCCTTTCTGCTTCCTAGCCAAGTGTGTTTTATTCCTGCCTCCAGTTATTTCCTATCTGCTTGAACTTCCCAACTAGAATTTTGGAAACATCTGTCTAGGTTCACCTTTTTATGTCTTCCCCATAGTCACGTCCAAATCACTGAGATTTGGTTCCATCTACTTCTCCTGCACTCTCACCCTCCTAATTGCTAAATCCAGTAACCACATCACTGTTCTTACCTTACAAGCTGGACATTGGACATATGTGACAACTACTTTCTTTTAAAAGTTCTATTCTGTGCACCACACTCTCCTGCTGCTGTTTCTACCTCTGTGGCCACTTCTTCTGTGTCTTCTTTTTCTGCCTGCACCTTGAATATTGATACATGTTTTCTCCTCTGAGCCTTTTGCACATTTTCTCAGGACTTAGGAGATGCCAAGTGAATATTTGTTGAATGAATGAATTGTATCTGTACTGATTGATTTCTCAAGGAATTTCACACTAGTTTGACCATGTGCTCACCTGTGGATTTGCATCTTCAGACAACTCAGAACTCTTGTTTAGAGTATAAAACTGAGGTAAAGGGAAATTAAGTAGAGTATATACTGCAACATATGCAGCTTCTAAAATTCAGAGCCAGAGTTGGGTCTGTCAGACTTTATACCTCATGAATCTTTTCTAAATGACTTTGAAAATTTAAGTTGGGGATAAATGCTAAATATAGAACTAAAATACTGAGCTCTTGAGTTTAGTAAATCTACATTGTGTTAAGAGTTGTCTGTGCTGTTTTGTTCCTAGACAGTTATTTGGCAGAAAACCAGAGTATCAGATCACAAGATGGCTCTCATGTCGGTTCTGGGGACTGCTGTGATGGGCAACATGGAACCCTTTCAGTGCCACTCTGAAGAATCTCAGGTATACAACAAAATGTTTTTTCATAATTCTGAATTACCAATGAAGCTGCTGAAATATTTCCCTTTGGGGTGGGGTAGTAAAAAGCTTTTCTTCTAACATTTTTATCAAATATGTATGTAAGGTAAAAAAGGAAAATACATATAGAACTTTCATTAAATCTCTTCTTTGGCCCTGATTCCCTTTTTATATTTGCTCTTTGTTGCTTACGTAAATTTTTTTAAAAATAATTTTAAACTTAGAATCCTATCTCTTTCTACTATGAAAGAAAATGAGTTATGCTTGCTTATTCTCTTTTCACCTTTCTCCTAAATAGATAACTCCAACTTCCTTTTCTTGACCTATCAGGTACAGATAGTGCTTTTTTGACTGTCTCTAATGCTGGATGAGGCTATTAACACCTCTTCCTATTATTTGCACTTTATTCCTTCGGTCTTGTCAGCGATGCTTTTATATTTTCATGCTTAATAGCTTAGTTTCTTATGTAGCCATTTTTTAAGTTTTATATCTTTTGTCTGAAGATTGATTCTAAATGTTGAAAACTTACATAGACTATACATTATTATGACTATAATAGTCTTCATTCAGATCCTGGTTTATGCTAGAATTACATTTCCCCTCTACGGATCCATTATTTTATCTCTTATACGTATGAGGATATTCCTAGTGTCCTAATTAAATGGAATCTTCTTTCTTATACTCTCATCAGTTACTCAGAATTCATCATGCTTTTCTTTGGTTTTTTGCTTTTTCTGGGACTTCCAAAAGTTTTCTTTTTTATTTTTAAATGAAGAAGTCTTCTTCAGTGTCAGCGATAAAATCTAACTCCTTTAGTCATTCTGCCTTTAGCTGGCAACCTATTCCATCCTATCTTTTCAAAGTCGTTGTTCTTAGACCCCACTTATTTCTATTTGGATTGTTTATGTCATAGGCCTTCTGCCTAAATCTCATCCTGGGATTTCTTTTCATAGGAATACTGGTTGGTTCCATTATTTCTTGTATGTCATGCCTCCCCCTTTCTTGGCATTCAATTCTCATTTGTCTGAGGTACATCTTTAAATAACTTCCACAGAAAGAGGGAACTTGAGAGGTAACTTGCCAAGCATGGTGGCCAATGCCTGTAAACTCAGGCTTTGGGAGCCTGAGAGGCAGGAGGACCACTTGAGGCCAGGAGTTTGAGACCAGCCTGGGCAACATAGGAAGACCCTCATCTCTACAAAAAATAAAAAAATCAGCTGGGTCTGGTAGCACATGCCTATAGTCCCAGCTACTTGGGAGGCTGAATCGGAAGGGTTGCTTGAGCCCAGGAGCTTGAGGTTACAGTATGCTGTGATCATGCTACTGCACTCCAGCCTGGGTGATGAAATGAGACTCTGTATCTGAAATTTTTTTTAAATAAATAAAACTTATTATGTCTGAGTATGTCTTCATTTTGCATTTTCTCTTATTGATAGTTTGATAGACATAGACTTTTAGATTGAAAATAATTTTTCTTTAGAACTTTGAAGATTATTGAGTATTTTTTACCATCCAATACTTGCTGACAGGCAGATTAATTCATTCTACTTTCTTTCTAGATGATACTTTTTTCCTCTGAAAGTTAAGGTCTCTCCTTCATCCTTGCAAGAATGTGTCTAAGTGTGTGTCTTGTATCATTTATTTTTTATTGTGCTGAGCACATGATGTAGACCCTTTGAATGTGAAGACTCGTTTTTTTTCTTAGCCCTATGTTATATTCCTCCATCCATTATCACTTTGATAATTTCTGTTTTTTAAATCATACTCTCTATTGTTAATTAGGACCTTCTCTAATTTTTCTCCGATTTTTCCTCAAGTTTTCCATCTTTTTCTGTAAGTTTTGAGAGATCTCATTGTCTTTTAACCCTTCTATTGTATTTTTGGTTTAAAATTATGTTTAATTTCCAAGAGTATTTATTGTCTTATTGCTTTTTCATGATATCTTATTGTTTTATGGATACAAACCCCTGAGTCTTGTTTTCCTTTTTCAATTATTTCTTAAATAATTTCTGTTTCTTAGGAGGCCAGGTTTTGTTTTTCTTTTCAGGTCTCTTTTTTCCCCTCTTTTTTCTTGTCTCTCGCTATGAACAGAAAATCTAATTGGGAACATGTTGTTTGTAGCTGGGCTTAGTGACTGTCAGTTTCCACTTGAATGCTGAGTAGTCAAAGTTCGGTTCCCAGTCCTGTTTCAAGAGTCTGGGAGAATCATTAGTGCCATATGGGGTAAGGACTTGATCTGCACACCGCACCCTGACTTGCTGTCCTGGTTCTTCTGAGGAAACGCGTTTACTCTTTCTCCCTCCCCTCTGCTCCCTTCCTTCATCTTTTTCTTTTTTTTTACTTCTAGCATAAAGTTACGTTAATTGTAATGGGTTAATGAGTCATGATCCTTATTTAGTTTCCTTTTAGAAGTTTTTTTTTTTTAAACCATCGACTAATTTATTTCTATAAAGGAACCTACATGGTGTAAACATATTTCAGGATGTCGTCTTGCCATTTTAAACTCTTGTCTTCATGTTACACAACATCTAAGGTGGAGTCATAGTTTAATATTTACCTCTGAGAGACATACACACCTGATGCTGAAATTTGTACCTTGAAATTTGACCTCCTAAGAAATAGAAATTATTTAAGAAATAATTTTTTTAAAAAAACAGGACTCAAGGTTTGTATCCATGAAACAATAAGATGTCATGAAAAAGCAATAAGATAATAAATACTCATGGAAATTAAACATAATTTTAAACCAACTCAGTTCTAGAAGAATCCTTTTCTTTTTTGTTATTTGTCTGCTGACTTTATACTTGAAGGCTCTCTGGAGGTATGCTAAACAGTTGGTGTCTCTGTTCTACTCTGTGTTTTTAATAATTTGTTGAAAACTCTTCTGTTATTGGTTCCCCTCCCATTCTCTTCGCAGTTCTTAGTTATTATCATCTTATTAAAGTCTTGGATGGAAGCTTGTGCTCTATTAATACTTAGAGTTCTCTCTGCCTGAGGGACAATTCAGGCAGCCCTAAAGAGCTGTTTAATAGTTTTGACACATTCTAGTGCTACCTTAGACTGGTTAGTGTAGCTGATTTGGGATGGTAAGGGTGTCATCTAAATTCCCATGGGTTCTCTGTAGCTTCATGGGACTTTGTTGTCTGTAGGGTAACCTGGGCAGCTTAGACTTGTTATCTGTGTCATGCTCCCAGTATTCTAGCTGTCATAACTTAGTCTAGTGTTGCCAGTGTTGGCATCATCTGGAAGCTTATTAAAAATAATCTTAGGCTTCATCCCAGATCCACTGAATCAGAATCTACATTTTAACAAGGTCTCCAGGTTCACATTCAAATATGAAAATACCCATCTAGACCTTGGTCACCTGTCATTTCATGTGTGGATGGAACTATCACATGAATTAGTCTTGTATTGGGAATTCTTTTCTCCAATCTGTTTTGAGATATATGGCCAAATCTATGCTTGCTCATTGAATCTCATATCTTGAGATAGACTTGCATAAAGAATCCTAGTAGTCCACCATAGATAGCAGTATTTTCCTGCACCTCCATGTGGTTTTTGGGGGAGCAGGGGTCAGAGTCTCTCTCTGTCACCCGGGTTGGAGTACAGTGGCATGCTCACAGCTACCACAGCCTCAACCTGCTGGGTTCAGGCAATCCTTCTGCCTCAGCCTTTCAAGTAGCTGGCACTACAGGTGTGTGCCACCACACCCATCTAATTTTTAATTTTATTGTAGAGACATGGTCTCGCCAAGTTGCCCAAGCTGGTCTCGAACCCCTGGGCTCATGCAGTTCTTTTGCCTCCACCTCCCAGGGTGCTACGTCTGTATATACACCACTATGCCTGGCACATGTTGTTATTTTTGCATGAAGGAATGGGTGAGTTTGGAAAGCACGTATTAATGTTCCAGTTCCATGGGCTATAAGAAAGATAAAATTTTGAGTGTCTCTCTAGTGAGAGTGATCATTTAACCAAATCCTTCTTCTATTTTTTTTAACTGTGTCTAAATAGGTATTTTATTTATGTTGCCACCAGTTACCCATCACCACTCCATGCTTTTGGAGTTTGTATGGTTGATCGGGATTTGTCCTATATCGGGAATTCTTTGAGCCCCTTCTCATCCCTTGCCAAAAGCAATCTTGAGTTTTCCAATTGTTAGTGGTTGTTCCCTCTTCTGTACTCATTACATACCTTAAAGTTGTGCAACTTGGCCACCAAGTCCCCTTCGTCGGACTGGAATGGCAGATCTATTGGCCATAGGGAACCTTGGGTATAGATAATCTTTATATATCTCTTCCCATAATATGAAGGTACTTTTATTTTTATCTACAGGGACCCCACATAGGAAAACTCCCCTAATTATGGGTAGTGGTCTCAACTGGGCCACTGCTCTAGTGACTTTTGTTCAGCATTTCCCATCGTGGCTTTGTTGGCTGCTGGAGCTCCTCAATTATCCTTCTTGAAATGTCTTCTCTTTGATATTTGTACTTCTGTATCATTCAGTGTTAAGTTCTGAGTGAATTCCTCAGTACTGCCTGATTTTTATTACCAAAGCTATATATTTTGTTAGAATTCAGAATTTATTTTTATATTCTTCTCTTTTAAACTTGATGTATAGCTACCAGTTTTAATTTCTCTACCTTCTGTTTTTTTAGTGGATGTTCTTTTTACTTTTTAAAAAGCATGTTAAACATACTAATTTCAGTCCTTTTCATATTGTTCTATTATTTCTATTTTTCTGAGAAATTCTCTCATTCTCCATAATTCTGTATGTGTTGAAATTTTAATTTGCAAAATCATCTTGAATGCAGTTTTATTGTTTTTGTTGCTTTGTTTTTCTTCACCCCACCTTTCCTTCCCTTCCCATATTTTGGCAGTTACCTCCCTCCTCAGCCTCAATTCAAAACCAGGTGTTATATTAGTAATTCATGCCTCTCATCCTGCCAAGATTTTACAAACCCCTTTTCCTAGCCAGCTTGGCTTAGCCTTGTTCTCGGTTTTGGAGTTGTCTCCATTCTTTCCTGTGAGCCTGGCAAACAGCTCCAGACAGTGGCAACAGTATTTTTAAACATCTCTTTTTTGGAGGGAAGGTGCTATATGAGCCCTCTATTTTAAATGGAAAGACTGATTTCAATCCCCTGCCTTGAATGGGGTGTTTTCTGTCCTTATTTCCATACCAGAATATAATTTCCAGCTGACACATTTTGTTTCTGATCCTAGTGCACATAGGGCTTTTGACTTTAGCTATCACTCCCTGTTAAATGTTTTGTAATAACATCTATGCGTTTATCTTTTTTTTCAAAGTTTATCACTGCGATATATTTGCAGTTGGGATGGAGGAGGAGGAAATTTCCACATGAACTTGTTCCACTATCCTGACCAGAACTACTTAAATTAATACTTTAGAAATGTAACTTTATGGTGTTGTAGAGATTTACTGAAAGAGGAGAAAGATTCGTGTTAGAAGAACAGTCAGCGTTACATCAATATAATCAAAATAGAGAAGAGAATATGGGTTTAACAGACTAAGTACACAACTGGGCCCTTTATTATGGTAAAGGAATACAGGAGGAGCCAACTGGACAGCAGGGTAGAAGTGGGATAAAATCTTATATCAAGTTTTGAGTGTGATGAGATTGAGAATTTGTGACAGCCAGTTGAAGATAGTAAACATTTGGGCGTGAAAGAAATAGCAACTCTACATCTGTATCTTAGCCTCACTGGTGTATGGGTAGTTGTTGAAACTATAGAGTGAATGAAATTACTCAGGAAGAGTAACTAGAGAGCAAGAAAAAAGGGCCTGATGATGGAACTCAGAAGGACCATCATCATTTATAGTAGGTAAGGAGTCAGTAAGGAAAAGGAGAGAAAGCAGCAAACCAGACTGAAGAGGAAGTGACAAAGAGGAAGCAGAAAGACCAAAAGAGAGGACTGAAACAGATTCATGCAGTGAAATGCTTCGCAAAGGAGAAAGTTGTCATTGGCATCAGGGGTTGCAGAGAGTCAAATAAGAGAGGGGCTGAGTAGTGTCTACTGGAGGGGGTCATTTAAGTAGAAGCCTGTTTATAGGGGATTGGAGGTGAAGGGAAGAAGAGAGGGGGCCCATAGTTGAGAAGCAACTGGGGAGAGGTATTTGTATTTTGCCTTTGATTTTTGTTTTGCTTTTTTTAGGTTGAGGAATTCTTGGGTACAGAAGTTTGTAAAGTGTATCTAATTTTTAATTTTGTTGCAGCAATTTGGTCTCAGGTTATTTTTCTGTGAACTAACCTGATTGTCACTTTTTACAGTATTTTATGACTTTACTGTTTTATTTTGCTTTTTTCATATGACTTAAACATAATTTGTTAGTTCTTAAGATTATCCCAAACCATTCTTAAAGCTCTGTATTTGGGAGTAATAGTAATTATTCAATGGTCAACCAAGATGGTGTGAAAGGAAATCACTGGCAATATTATCTTTTTTTCCTTCATTTTATTATTTATTCTTTTTTTATTCAAAACAGACTTTAATCCAACTTAAATCTAACATGAATCCACAAACCCAGTAAGTCTTTCAGAGGCTAAACAGACTCTCCCTGATGCCCAGCAGGTGCTTTAAGAAGGGTCTCATGTTTCCTGGTAAATTATACGACCATTTATAAATGCTGTGAAGTATTGCAGTTAATTAAGCAGTATCATTTTGTAATGGATTATCTAGATATATTATTTTTTCAAATTGGCACAATTTGGCACTATGACAATAATGCACTTAGTGTTCTAAAATTGGTAATGCATCTCCTTAAACGCTCATTTCCAAGGGCAGGGATAACCATACACATAGGTGGCACCCTACAGGCTGTGTTGATAAGGAACCTTGTGGTTTCTGCCTAACTAAAAATAGCACCTCTGCTGACTTGCTTTTCTTTACCTAAGCTAAAATTTTACTATTGGTGTTCCTTGACAGATTACTAACACATCTAGTTCCAGCTGTTTCTGATAGGGAATTTTTTAAAGTCTGTTTTCAATAACTTAACCAAAAATCACATAGCAAGTAGTGGAACTGGGTTTCATACCTTGTCAATCTGGCTATCCTATATTCTTTAAGTTCGCCGTATTGTCTTCAGCTGTGTCAATTATATAATGATAAAACAGGAGCATGTTCCCTCCCTGAGTCCTTTGGATATCTCTTTCTTCTCTCTTGTCATTTTCTCCCTCCTCTTTATGTAGACTAAAAAAGAAAGATAACATACAAATCAAAAATGTTACAGAAAGGTTTTCTTAACAAAAATGAAGATAAAGTACAATAGTGTAATCAATATTTAGCCCTGAGGAAGTTAATTCAGAGCAAAAGACATTTTTTTAAACTTGGAAATGAGCACCTAATAAGATTGGCTTTATAGCATATATATAGGAAAAGATAGTTAAAAAGAAAAGGACAGCCAGCCAGAGAAAAGTCACAATGTGAGGAAATAATTTTTTTTTTTTTTTTGAGTTGCAGTCTTACTCTGTCTCCCAAGCTAGAGTGCAGTGGCATGCTCATCGCCACTGCAGCCTTGACCTACTGGGCTCAGGCAATCCTTCCGCCTCAGCCTTCCAAGTAGCTGGAACTATCGGCATACCCACCATGCCTGGCTAATTTTTTGATTTATTGTAGAGATGAGGTCTTGTGAAGTTGCCCAGGCTGGTCTTGAACCCGTAGGCTCAGGCAATCCTCTCACCTCCCAAAGTGCTGGGATTATAGGTGTGAGCCACCAAGCCCAGTCAGAAATAAAATTTTAAAAGACAGAAAGATATGGTTGAGCAGAGGGTGAAAGAATAACCATTCATGACAATTGTATAAAAACCAATTTTCCTTAGAGTTGCTAAAGGAGAATTAGAGGCAGACAATACCAGGTTAGCATGCTTCCGTATTAATAATGCTTGAGACATTTTCATCAGGAAGTATATGACTCTTTAGACCTTAAGAATAAAATGTTTTTTAATTTTTTATGACTTTTGATTTGCTGTATGTAGCCAAACCTATGGAACACATTATTGATATTGCTTATTTTATACCTATTTCTTATAATTATAGATTTATCTAAGTGGATTTCTTCCAAAGTATGATGCAGACCACTCTCTCACAAGTCTTTCAACCTCAGAAAGGAGTTTCATCTTTATAAATAGTCGACCAATACATCAAAAAGACATCTTAAAGGTAATCTTTCTTGGAAAAAAATGTTCCTTGGATCAGAAATTAAAAACTAGCTCTGTCATTTGTCAAATTGTAACAAGTACTACTCCTAAGAATTTTCTCTAAAATAAGAAAAACAGAACAAGAGATATGCTATCATGTATTAAGCGTCATGCTAAATATTTTATATATGGTATCTCTTTTACTCTTCACAGCAATTCTGGAATATATTACTGTCCCCATTTATAGTGAGGAAACAAATGCTAGATGTCTTTATTAGACCATGTAGCCAGGAAGTTAAGAGTTTTGATTTGAACTCCAGGCCTTCAGAACTTCCATGACACTATGGTTTTTAATCATGAGGCTAATTGCGTTGGATATTTGTACATCTTATGAATGCTTGTGCTTCATTTACGTTCAAGGCCTCCAAACGAGTATCACCTCTGTGGTATTGCTTTTACTATTAAGCAGTTATATCCACTCAGTTTCTCAGGTCAGTATGCTCCTTTTGGTGGTATTTTAAGATTGGTAATACTTCTTTATTTAAATATTATTTTTATCTTTTATTCATTACATACGTTTCTAGTTAATCCGACATTATTACAATCTGAAATGCCTGAAGGAATCTACTCGTTTGTATCCCATTTTCTTTCTGAAAATTGATGTTCCTACAGCTGATGTGGATATAAATTTAACACCAGATAAAAGTCAAGTGTTATTACAGAATAAGGTAACTTTTTTCAGATGTTTGTATTAATTCATGCTCTTTATGAACTTATATATTTGTATCTCTTTTCACATAAAACAAGATTTGCTTGTTTATATTTTTTATTTTAAATTTTGTGTATTCATATAATTTCCCCTAACATTTGTTAATTTATATTTTTAGGAATCTGTTTTAATTGCTCTTGAAAATCTGATGACAGCTTGTTATGGACCACTACCTAGTACAAATTCTTATGAAAATAAAAAAACAGATGTTTTCTCAGCTGACATGGTTTTTAGTAAAACAGCAGAAACAGATGTACTTTTTAATATGGAATCATCTGGAAATAATTATCCAAATGTTGATACTTCAACCATTCCTTTCCAAAGTGATGTGCCTAATGATGAATCTGGAAAAAACACTGATGATGGCTTAAAAGACCAGATAGGTGTTGGTGACCATCATGATTGTCATGTTAGTTGTGAAAATTCCAGCATTGATAAGAATACTAGAGATGCATTTCAAGAAATTTTAATGAGTAATTTATCATGGGAGAATACCCAGAGTGAATACAATGAAACGTGTTTTGTAGGTTCTGTTAAGCACACCAAACCAGAAAATAGCAATAAAGGCCATATAGATGAGAGTGGGGAAAATGAAGAAGAAGGAGTTCTTGAAAAGTCTTTGAAAATTTGTGCAGATGATTGGAGCAAGGGAAATGTACTTAAAAATTCAGTGGGAGAGAATATTGAACCTGTAAAAATTTTAGTGCCTCAAAAAAGTTTAGCATATAAAGTAAGTAGCAGTAATCACTCAAGCCCTGAACAAAAGAATCTCAGTGAAGGTCCTTGTAACAAAAAAACAAATGTGATAGATAACAAATCTGGACAACTTACAGCTTATGATTTAATTAGCAATCGAGTAATCAAGAAACCCATGTCAGCGAGTGCCCTTTTTGTTCAAGATCATCGTGCTCAGTTTCTCACAGAAAATCCTAATACCAGTTTAGAGGATGCAACATTACAAATTAAAGAACTGTGGAATACATTGAGTGAAGAGGAAAAACTGAAGTAAGTTTCCAGAACTTGCATGTGACCTGAATGTTCAGTTGTTTCCATCCTATATGACTCACTGGTTGGTTTAAAAGTTTTTTAACTTCTTATTTATGGAAATGAAGAATGGAAAATGCCTCTGGCTTGGCGAGAGCACCTTTTTGATATCACTTTTTTTGTTGTTAATTTGGTTTTTTTGTTGGGAAGGGCGTTGTTTTTTGTTTGGTACAAGCCTTAACTGCTTTCTGATTTATTAAGTTTGTGGTTAAAGGTTTTCCATTCATCTTCTCAATTTCAAACCATCATTCTCTTCTATTTGTTTTTTGTTTAATATTTAAGAACTTTTCTATGGTAGAACGTTTTTTAAGCCTTTGCAATAGAACAATGATAACCATGATGTTTTTAATATCCTGATTATTCCCTTTCTTAAATTGGACTTTAAAATATGTAACATAAAAGAAAAACTTGTATTATTGTTGTAGATTCAATTTAGTGGTGTTAATACTGTCCCTACTCAGCCTAACTTAAGGCTTGCTTATAAGGTTTTTGATTTATTATAATGTAAATTATAGTGGGGTTTTTTTGGTGTGTAGATAGATGAATTGATTCATTTTTGATTAATATATTACTTGCCATCTTTAAATCAGATTATCTGAATAAGTCTTCCAAATAATATGATGAGTGTTTTAAATTGGCTTAAGACACTTAATAAACATTAAATACTATGCTTTGAGTGATCTAGCCCACCTGAAAATGAAAGAGTAGAATTAATTATACCTTCAATCATGTATTTTATCTAAAGTGTCTCAATACTATGTCAATATGAAAAAAAAGTTAATGAAATCCATCATCCAGAGTTTATATTTAATGATAAACTACATGGATACTTAGCCTGCTTTCATTTTTTCATTAGTGCATTCAATCTTATAAAGACACTGTCAATTTTATATTATAAAAACCACTATTAACATCAATACAGAAAGCTTTCATAGATTAGTTTTTCTCTTCAGCCTTTTTCCCCACTTTTTTTAGTAGCGATAGTTGTTTTTTTGCTCAGCACACACAAAAGTAGATAAAACAGTACAATGAATTAATTACCCCGTTTTACCAGCCATCATCTCATGAACAGTCCTGATTTATTCATTTCTCCACTCACTTTTGTTCCCCTTTTTTATTTTGAAGCAAATCATAGGCATAATATCTATTTCATAAATATTTCAGTATGTAACTCTAAATGATAAAGATACTTGTGTTTTAAAGATAACCATGCCGGGCTCGGTGGGTCAGCCTGTAATCCCGCCTTTGGGAGGCTGAGGTGAGTGGATTACCTGAGCCCGCGGGTTCGAGACCCGCCTGGGCAGCGAGACCGCATCTCTACAATAAATTAAAAAAATCAGCCAGGCGTGGTAGCGCATGCCTGTGATTCCGGCTACTTGGAAGGCTGAGGCGGAAGGATCGCCGGAGCCCAGCAGGTCGAGGCTGCGGTGGCCAGGAGCGGCAACTGCGCTCCAGCCTGGGCGACAGAGTGAGACTCCAACTCAAAAAAAATAAAAATAAAAAAATAAAGATAACCATAATACAGTTGTCCTAACTTTTTTAAAAAGCATTGATTCCTGAAAATATCAAATATGCAATATTCAAATTTATAATTTTTTCATATATGTGAGATTTTTGAGGTTTATTTTTAATAATGATGCAAATAAGTTTCACACAATTATTGTCTTTAGTTTTACTTAAAAGACAGAGAACTCTGCAGTTTAAAGATGAATATGTTTAATGTTTAAATACAGTAATCCCACAAAAGCTCAGTTGCATTGCCCAGGGAAGTGATGAACTGAGAATTGTCTGAGAATAGGAAAAATGCAGAGATGCTTTCAGTTTTCATGGAAATAGTTTCAGTGTAACAGCTTATAATGGAAAATTATCCTGCTGGCTATTCCTTTGTAGGCTCACAAAAGCAGGTATAGTTCCAGTTCCCTTTGGGGGGGGAGTGCCAGTATTGTTTCTTTTTGTGGATCCCAAGCTGTCGGGTTACTAGGGTTATGGTTGATAGGCCTCATCTAGAAATGTGTTTATCATCAGTATTCTAGAATTCAAATTTCCCTCTTACATTGTCATAAGGGGTGGTCAAGACCTCTGAAACTGCACCTGGGTTCTAAGCCCTTCTTTGCTTTTTGTGAAAATGTGTGAACAGTTTTTCCTGGATTGTTGTGAGGGATAAATAAGATGTGTGTTATGATACAAGATCAGTGACTAGCACATAGTAAATGATTACTCAAGATGTTAATATAATCAGTGAAAACACTTAGCAGTTGGGCTTAATCTCATCTGTGGGACAGGTAATGCTTCCCTGAAGAGAAATTAATCAGAAAGGTTTTAGGGAATTGTCTAGGTGGGAAGAATAGCATGTGAGAAGGCCCAGAAGCTAGTAGGAACATGGTGTTATTGAGGAAATAAAAGATTCCTCTATAGCAGAAACAGAATATGAGGGAGTGTGGCAAAGAAAGATGAGGAAGGTGGGGGCCAGATCATGCAAGGTTCTGTAAGCCACAACAGTGTTTGAATAAGGACTGGGATCAGGGTTTCCAGTTGTTAAAATTCTGCTGAGAAGCGGAGCTCGGTGGCTCAGCCTGTCATCCCGCGCCTTTGGGAGGCTGAGGTGAGTGGATTGCCTGAGCCCGCTGGTTCGAGACCCGCCTGGGCAGGCGAGACCTCATCTCTACAATAAATCAAAAAATTAGCTGGGTGTGGTAGCGTGCGCCCGTAATTCTGGCTACTCAGAAGGCTGAGGCGAAAGGATCACCGGAACCCAGCAGGTTGAGTCTGCGGTGGCTGGGAGCGGCCACTGCACTCCAGTCTGGGCAACAGAGTGAGACTCCAACTCAAAAAAAAAAAAAAAAAATTCTGCTGAGAGCTTAGGACAGACTTTGGAGTAAGGAGTATACTTTCATTTTTTATTTCTTCTCTGATTTTCTTTTTCTTGCTTTCTTTTTCTCTAGTGGATTAGAATAAAGATTTAGGCCATATGCCCTGCCACTGGGGTCTCAGTCAACTGACCTTAACTTGAAATTTAATTTGCAGTAGCTTTGAATATATTTCTACTTAAAATAACTAAGAATAATAATGCAATTGGGGTATTATTGAAAATGATAAGCTTTATAATTAAATGTAATGTTTAGTTAGAAAAACATTATTTGAATTGACTACCGGTCAAATCAGGATTCATATTTTCCATTCAAGTTACTAAATCCTTTAATGACATTAAGCACAAAGGTAGCAGCAGCTTTTAATGAACATTTACTTACTATTTCTTTGTACATAACTTTTTATATTTTCCAAAGAACTAGTTAAATTGACTTCTTGAGTAAATCAAAAGATTATTACCATATGTGAAAATTTGCACATTATAATTAATTACAAATGGTGACCTCTGTTTTGAACTCATTTTCCACTACACAGGAAAAATCTTAAATTTTAATGTCAGAGAGCTAAAAATACCTATTCCTAAGTACCTGTTGAAAATAAACTTTTAAAAATAATGTGTTTTTTAGAGCTAATCCAGAACTTCAGATTCTAAGTAGAAATGAGAGAAAATAACTTTTAAAATTGTGAATATGGCATGGTAAGTAACCAAAGTAGCCGTTTTCCTTCTAGTTTACAATGAAACAGTGTCTTTTTTTACATTCTTACCCAATGAATGTTTCTTCATTCAACAAACAAGTACTGAGTACAAACTACATGCCATGCTTTGGTCTCCTGTCTTTTAGTCTCACTTTTAACATTTAATACAGGTCTCCTTGTATTTTTATTTCTTAACACATCCACTTTTCTCTTTAAAATGTTGTGTGTAATGGAATCCAGCCAGTTTCTTAATACTAGAAATAACCTTAATTCTGTAGTCTCAAATTTAAAACCATTTAGAAACAATTTTTTAGTAAAGTTACTAAATTACTAACCCTTAGTCAGTTGTATGCCCTTTTTGTTATAAGATTTTATTGATATAAATATCACCATTTACTTTGTGTCTAGCGCTATTCTAAGTATTTGACATATTTTAACTCATCTTATTTCTCACAACAAAACTCTGAAGTAAGATGTACATTATCCATGTATTACAGATGACATGCTGCAGCACAGAAACATTAAATAATTTGCATAGGTTTACAGAGCCTCAGAGTGGCCCAGGCAGACTATTTCCAGGGTCTTTGTTCTTAGTCCCTACACTTTGATGAACACATAGCGGTAGTTTCCAATCCTAGGTGTGTACTGGAATCACCTGTGGAGTTTAAAACCAGCTGCCGAAACTCACTCTAGACCTAGAAAAATTAGAAACTGAGAGTGGGACCCAGGTATCTCAGTTTTTTAGATAAGAGTTGACACAACCACTGTGCTACACCATCTTTGCCCCTAGAAATTTGATTTTACTCATTTCACTGTAGACAAAAAAAGAAAACCTTTTAACTTTTTTACCCAGTGTAACTTTTGAAATTTCCATTTCAAAATGAAAAAAACCTTAGAAATTGAGTTAAACTAGATGATTTAAATTCAGTTTGTTTGATTTATGTTTTCATTGATAACTCAAAAGTGGTAATAATAACTGAAAAAAAACATTTAGCTATGAAACCAGTATAAATTTCATCATATCACTTTTGACTTTGTGTGCATTTATTATAGTGACTTTATGATTTTACTAGTATCTAATTACCAAGTGGAGTATTAATGTGTGTAAATTTTTTTTGTACTGTTCTTTCATGTTGATGTTAAAGCAAATATATAAGGAATAATTCAGATCTGGAATTGGCTCTTTATTTAATCATTTCTTAATTCAGTCTCTTTAAGTATTGTGCCTTAACAGTTTCTTAAATGGTTTTTAAAATTGGGTAAAATCTTAGTGATCTTAGTGGTATAGTCTAATGTATTTTCATAAATTTGTGTACCGATATAAACATCACCCCAAGCAAAATGTGGAACATTTCCATCATCCCAGAAAGGCCACCTCCCAGCCAAGTCTCCATAGGCCGCCACTATTTTGATTTTTGTTAGCACTAGCTTGTTTTTGCCAGCACTTGAACTTCATGTATATAAAACTATATGCTATGTACTCTTATATCTGGCTTCTTGTCAACAAAATATTTTTGTGACTCATGCATGTTGTTGAATCTATTTGTGGTTAATTTTTTTAAAATCAGAGTATGAATATACTAAAATTTGTTTAGTTAGTCTCTAGCTGATAGACATTTGGGTTGTTTTTTGTTTGGGGCTATTATGAATAAAATTGTGTTATTTTAGTTTTCAAATATTTAGGACTTTTCTAGACATATTATTCCTAATTTAAGTTTGTCATGGACGGAGAAAATACTTCATTAGATTTCAGTCTTTTGAAATGTATTGAGAATTAAAACCCAGTATATGTTCTGTCTTGATGAATGCTTCATATTCACTTAAAAAGAATCAGGACTTCAAAGTTGCTAGATGGTAGTGTTCTAAAATGTCAGTTAAGTTGAAGTAGTTGATAGTAATTGATAGCACTGCTAAATTCTTCCAAAGCTTTATTGATTTTTGGGGTGGTCTGGTTCTGTCAGTTACTGAGGGAGAAGTATACTATGCCACTCTGGCTTTTTTTATGCTTACTATTTGCAGGGTGTATCTCTTTTCATTCGTTACTTTTACGCTATCTGTGTCTTTATATTTAAAGTGTAACTCTTGTAGACACATAAGCTTTTTAAAAAATTCAGTCTGACAATCTTTGCCTTTTAATTGGAGCATTTAGTCCATGTAATATAATAATTGATATGGTTGGGGTTAGGTCTGCTATTTTCCTGTTTGTTTTCTGTTTGTTCCATCTCTGTTTTGTTCCTCTGTTTTTCCTTTTGGGGAAAGAGAGGAGGTCTTCTTTAGGGTTAAGAGAATATATGTTAGTATTTAATTTCCTTATTGTATTTCTGTTATTTTTTGCTTCATTGATTACATTATACGTCCTTAATTTATCTTAATCTTGTTTATAGTATACCACCCCACATAAAATGTAAAAATTTTGTACATATAATTCCACTTATATTTGGTATCATTCCTTAATAGTGCAAATATGCTGGCAACAAATTCTCATCTTTCTTTTATCTGAAAATGTCTATTCTTCACTTTTGAAGGACATTTTTACTGGGTATAATTTAATTCTGGGTTCTTTTGTCCCGAAATTTCACAGTTGTCTGGCTTTGCATTGCCCCTGATTACATCCATTATTTGTGATGTTTCTCTCTTTTTTTGTCTCTCTCTCTGTTTTCAGAATTTTATCTTAATCTGGTGTTCAGCACTTGATTCTAATATACCTACATGAGGATTTCTTTGCATTTATTCTGCTTGGGATTTGCTGACCTTGGATATGCAAGTTGTATTTCTCCAAAGTGGCTGTCAGGCCTAATTTCTCTAAATATTGTTTTCTTGCCCAATTTTCCATTTCTTATCTGGTACTCCAGTTACATGTATGTCAGGATGTTTGTTGTGTCATATAGGTAACTGAGATGAGTTTTCAGCCTTGTTAAATCACTTTTCTGTTGCTCACATTGGATCATTTTTATTGCTCTATCTTCAACTTTACTCTTTTTTTTGCCAACTCTCATCTGCTATTAAGCTTATCCAGTGAATTTCTGATATTGTATTTTTTAGTTCTAAAATTTCCATTTCATTCTTTTTTTTTTTTTTTTGAGTCTCTCTCTCTCTCTCTGTCGCCCAGGCTGTAGTGCAGTGGCACACTACTCACGGCCACCCCAGCGTTAATCTGCTGGGCTCCAGCGATCCTTTTGCCTCAGCCTTCCAAGTAGCTAGAATTACAAGCACTCTATCATGCCCAACTAGTTTTTTATTTATTGTAGAGACGAGGATTCACCAAGATGCCTGGGCTGGTCTTGAACCCGCAGGCTCAGACAATCCACTCACCTCGGCCTCCCAAAGTGCTGGGATTACAGTTTGAGCCACTGAGCCCAGCTTCATTCTTTTTTATAATTTCCACTTCTCTGTTAAGATTCCCCCTTCTGACTTTGCAGACACTGCCACCTTGAGCCTTTTCCCATCAGCCATGGTCAACCCCACCATGTTCTTCGACATCGCAGTCGATGGCAAGCCCTTGGGCTACGTCTCCTTCGAGCTGTTTGCAGACAAAGTTCCAAAGACAGCAGAAAACTATTGTGCTCTGAGCACTGGAGAGAAAGTTTTCGGTTATAAGGGTTCCTGCTTTCACAGAATTATTCCAGGGTTTATGTGCCAGGGTGGTGACTTTATATGCCATAATGGCACTGGCGGCAAGTCCATCTATGGGGAGAAATTTGATGATGAGAACTTCCTCTTGAAGCATACAGGTCCCAGCATTTTGTCCATGGCAAATGCTGAACCCAACACAAATGGTTCCTAGTTTTTCATCTGCACTACTAAGACTGAATGGTTGGATGGCAAGCATGTGGTTTTTGGCAAGGTGAAAGAGGGCATGAATGCAAGCCATGGAGGACTTTGGGTCCAAGAATGGCAAGACCAGCAAGAAGATCACCATTGCTGACTGTGGACAACTCTAATAAATTTGACTTGTTTTATCTTAAACTACCAGATCATTCCTTCTGTAGCTCAGGAGAGCACCCCCTCCATCTTGTTTGCTCGCAGTATCCCTGTAATCTTTGTGCTCTCGCTACAATTCTTTGGGTTCCATATTTTCCTTATTCCTTTCCATGTCTAGTTGGATTGCAGAGAAATAAAAACTAACAACAGCAACAAAAAAGATTCCCCCTTCTATTCTCTCAAGGTTATATTTTAAAACCTTAAATATTTATAAAATACTATTTTTATTTATTTGTTTTTTGCTAATTCTAACATCTGGATCATCTTGTGGTTGGCCCCTATGACCACTTTTTCTTTTGACCTTAACTCACATTTTCTGTTTTATTGCTTGAGTAGTAACTTTTGATTATATATAATGGGCATTGTGAGTGATGTGTTTAAAACTCTGGATTCTGTTATCTTCTTCTGAAAAGTGTTAATTTTTGTTCTATGAGGCATTTAAATTATTAACAGATTATATTGAGCTTTGGATGTTTTGTTTTATATTCTGTTAGGAAGAGACTGTTACAATTTTGTCTTTATTCCTAGGGTAATTCCCTTAGGTCTAGGACATAGTTTTTTTTTCCTCTAAGATGTGGCCCTCTTCCAGTTTTAATTGAAATCCCAAAGTGTTTACCAAGCCATGAAACTTTGTGGAATAAAAACTCCAAACTCTTATTTCCCCTGCAATGGGCAGCAGCTGAAATCTCTGTTCAGCTCATTTAGCCTTATAATGGTTGTTTTCCGCTGGGCTCCCCACATATGGGATTTTTTTGGGGATTTCTCAATTTCCAGTTATTCTGGAAGCAAGTAGCTCTGTGTTCTGATGACTCAGGCTAATGAGAGTGCAACTTTATGATTGAGTTCTAGCCACCCTCCTCTTCTTTAATGCTGGGGACTGTCCTCTGAGTAGAAGCTGGTATAAATGAAGATCTCCTTTTTTCAAGAGTTGCATTCATTCTAATTTCTACCTGCTTTTTACTGTTCTTCAGTGCCTGTTTTAAATGGTTGATTTTTAGACTTTGTTCAAAGTTTGTCATAGTTACATGCAGGAGAGTTAGCTCAACACATTTCTTTGTCATTGCTAGCTCTAGAATGACCTAGAATGCCAGCTCTTTTTATTTTCTAAAGTTTACTTCAGATGGTTAAGATATTTCTGATTATGACCTCATTACTTCTATTTCATCTCTATTCTTAGATACGAAGAGAAGGCTACTAAAGACTTGGAACGATACAATAGTCAAATGAAGAGAGCCATTGAACAGGAGTCACAAATATCTTCAAAAGATGGCAGGAAAAAGATAAAATCCACCAGCACATGGAATCTGGCACAGAAGTACAAGTTGAAAACCTCATTATCTAATCAGCCAAAACTTGATGAGCTCTTTCAGTCTCAAATTGAAAAAAAAAGGAGCCAAAATATTAAAATAGTACAGATCCCCTTTTCTATGAAAAACTTAAAAATAAATTTTGAGAAACAAAAGAAATTTGACTTAGAAGAGAAGGATGAACTTTGCTTGATTCACAACCTCAGGTTTCCTGATGCATGGCTAATTACATCCAAAACAGAGGTAATGTTATTAAATCCATATAGAGTAGAAGAAGCCCTGCTGTTTAAAAGACTTCTTGAGAATCATAAACTTCCTGCAGAGCCACTGGAAAAGCCAATTATATTAACAGAGAGGTATGATGAAGTAATACTTTTTTTTAAATTCTAAAAGTATTTATTAATTCATACTTGATTAGAAATTTAAGGTAAAAGGTTGAAAGTCTTTCCTAGTAGGGATAAGTGTTATTTACTTAGATCTTTTTAAAATGTGATTTCTAATCTTTTGTTTGTTTGTTTTGAGTTGAAGTCTCACTCTGTCACCCAGGCAGTATTTCAGTAGCCTGCTCACGACTCCTGCAGCCTTGACCTGCTGGACTTAGTCAATCTCTTCTGCCTCAGCCTTCCAAGTAGCTGGAATTACAGACACGTGGCACCATGCCCAGCTAATTTTTTGATTTATTGGAGAGATGAGGTCCCCCAAGTTGCACAGACTGTTCTTGAACCCTTGGGCTCAGACAGTCCCCTCGCCTCCACCTTCCAAAGTGCTAGGGTTACAGGTGTGAACCACCACACCTGGCCTGGTTTCTAATCGCTAATGGAATTGTTTATAAATAATTTTAAAATATTCCATATCATTCACTTCTACATTTAATAAATGTCAGTCTCATTTCTCCTATACATTAGTGACTTCCCTAGGGTAATTTTGAAATTATATCACTATGACTTTCTTCTTTTGTGCACTTTTTAACATTTTCAAACATATACCAAAATAGAATTATGCAGTGACTGCTTTTATCAACACTTATCAAGATTTTGCCAAATTTGCTTTATCTGTCCTTTTATATACACTGTATACACATATGTATTCTTTCCTTTGCTAAAGTAGTTTAGAAGAATTCCCCCCTGCATCTTTCAGTATATCTCTTTCAAAAATGGCTATTTTCTTTCCTAGTCATACTTTTCATACTTTACACAATAATAATTCTTGGAATTGTTCCTCGTTGTCTCAAATGTTTTTTTTTAATATTTTAAAATTTTAATTTGTATCTAAACAAAATCTACATATTACATTTAATTATGTCTCTTAAATCTTTTAAAACAAAACTATTGACTTATTGTAGCAACTGAGTCACTTATTTGGTGGAATGTTCTATTGTCTCTATTTGCTTCCTTGTAGTGGTGTTCAACTTGGTTTTTTTTTTTTCTCTCCATATTTAATTGGAAGTTAGCTCAAGAGGATTGACTAGATTTAGATTCTACTTTCTAGTAAGACTGCTTAATAAATAGGGGCTATGTGCTTCATGTTTAATCACATCAAAAGGCACCTATCACTGGGGTCAGCTGATGACAGCCTGACCGTCCTCCTTAAAGTTTCCCGTTAACCTTTTCCATCTGATGGTTTCATCCATTGATGATTGTTGCCTGAAATAATTTATTGCCTTTTCCTATTCTATATGAGCAAATTGTTTTCTGTAAAAATAGCTAATGACTAACCTATAAACATTTACCTTTTTATATTTACTATTTCTCTTTCAGCCTGATACCATTAAAAGATAATTATATGACAAAGGAGATAACCTGAAATTTTAAAAGATAATAAGAATTTGTTCACTGGCACACATAACTAGATAACTCTTTTTCAAAACTTCCAAGAGTAAGGCAGGAATTATTTATAAAATGTGTTAAAACTCTTGTTAAAGATACTGCCCTCAGAAAGAAAAAAATAAGGACAGAACCCAAATATCTGTTATATCTGTCTTCTAAAATAAGACAACAGCAAAAATCTAGTATCTTTTATAGTATTCGCTTAAGATTGGCTTGGGAAATTGTCAGAGGAAGAACTAGAAGACAGTGCCTTATACTGTATTAAAACAGTTTAAACACCTGATAGTGCTTTCTCTTTCCTCAAAAAGAAGGGCACATCTTAATTTTTCTACTTAATTGCCTTTCTCAGTAATACATGTAAATTTTCATCTAAATCTCAAAAGTCTTTTTGTGTTTATTCAAATTATAGGTTTCTAAAAGTATTTTTCTGTGCTGTGTTCTATTATTAAAAACAAATACATTAAAAACTATTATTTTGGGACTATACTAAACTTGAAAATAAATTTTTCTTAATTGAGTATAAACAAGAACAAGTGTTAATTCAAAATTGTTTTCCCTCCTCCTTTTGAAATGTGGCATGCCCATCACAGTTAACAATGTACATTTTTCAAAACTGAGTCATGGACTAATCCCACATCATTGACAGGGTAACTAAAATTGGGCTCAGTTTTCCCACCAGAGTTCTAATGCCATTTGTGTAGCTTACCTTGGAGCAATTTCAATATCTATAAAAAACAAAGTAAGTGCTCAATAATAATAGTAACAATGGCAAACATTTACTGAGCATTTACTATATGGTAGGTACTTTGCTAAGTTCTTTCATGATCTTTACAGCAATTTTATGAGGTAGATATTATTATCCACATTTTCCAGTTGAGGAAACTAAAATACAGAATGGTTCATTAACTAGGCTCTCATAGGCAATAAATAGGCAGTGGATCCAAGATTATAATCTAGAGAGTTTAAAAACTGTGGAGCCTGCACCATTAGCTGCTGTACTGTGCCATCATCATCAATACCACCACTGGTTCTCAGATTGATATTTGGAATATTGGTTAGATAAGAAAAGCCACATCTGATATATAGCCAAAGCTCTCTTTGTAATATAGCTCTCACACCCAGTAGGGTCTTCAACCAGAGCTGATCAGCAAGGATATCATCTATTCATTTGCTTTTTCAAGGAGTACAGGTTTGAAATGAAATAGCACATCCTGTACTGAAACATAACAGCGCCTTGTATACCTAAGACTAACATCTGGCATATGGTAGGCACTCAAATATTCATTGAGTGAATGGGAAAATCGTAATCGTTCACATGTCAACCCTAACAGACACCTTTTTGCAGTGACTTTTAATGTCATAAGGCACTATGACCAAACCTAAAACTAACCTTTAAAAAGGCTGATTTATACCCTAGATAATCTGGGGCTTCTTCAAAATTTTGTTACCACTCAGAATCATTTCATACACTACCTTTGGCAAACATGCCATGCCTGCAGTAGACAGAAAGAAGTTCTCCCAAGCTCTAAATTGATTATAAGTTTCTGGGAGAAAGGAAAAAAAAAAACACGTTTATCTTTTTGTTACTGAAGAAACCTTGAATAGCAATTGAAAACTCGGCAGGATGGACCACTTGAATAACTTTACAATGTATTATTGTGTCTGTTTTAAAGGTGTGAAACAGCATTACTTACAAAGTTTTCATTTGTATTATATTTAGAGAAAGCCATATTTTATTTCCCATTGAGTTTGTACCATACTAGAAAATAGAAATTCTTTTATTTCTTTTCCTCCTTTCTATATACTGTGTGCAGTTGGTCTTTTATAAAATACTAACAGAACTGTTAAAAAGTAGTTCTCACATTTTGCTTAAAAATGATAACACTTTTCAGAGGGCCTTTGGATGAACTTTTTCCCATAAATTCTCTTATTTCACTCTGCATATTTAATAAGTTAAAGGACCATACTTTCTTTTTCAGTCTTTTTAATGGATCTCATTATTTAGAAGTTTTATATAAAATGGCAACAGATGACCAAAGATACAGTGGATCAACTTACCTGTCTGATCCTCGTCTTACAGCAAATGGTTTCAAGATAAAATTGATACCAGGTATGATAATGCTGTTCAGTATTTCCTGATTTGGAAAAATAAGTCTTTGGGTTTCATAATATACAGATATGGTATATTTTTGTCTCACTACAAGTAACAGTGTTGGCTATGTAAAACCACTTATTTCAAAAAGATCACCTCGGCCTGAAACAAGCAGTTTGGGCATCTCCTTCAGACCAGTGTCTTGCATTTACATTTTCATAACTAATTAAGTAATTTTATTGCAATTTTAGTAATCCTTTGACATAATATGCAGACTGCCTGCTTTGTTTAACTAAATATTAAAATATTCCTTTAGGTGATGAAACAAATAAATATGCAGGGTACTAGAATGGCCTAACAAAAATGGACATCTTTTCTTTTTTATAAGTATTTACTTATTTTGCCAAGTAGCTATGTAACATCAGTATTCTTACTGTTTGGAGAGGTGATGATTTGATTCCATGGCTTTAAAAAGACAGATAACCCTCTTTGCTTAGAATGAAAATTCATTGGGTGGATAGAAAAGAAAATCCATCTGGCTGGGAGACTTCCTAGCTAGTTTCCTCTCTTTTATAGTTTCTGCCTTCTGCCCTAGCTTCCTAGGCTGGCCTTGTCCTGTTAACTTTCTCTTCATCTGCTGTCAAAGGAACACAGTGGCACTCCATTGTTTCCCCTTAAACTCATTATGCCCAAAGTGTAGAAAAACAGAGTTCTGCCAAAAACAGTGTGTGAAGATTTTTAAAGGAATGTTTTAGTGAGACATAAAAATAAGTAAAAACAATGTACAAGAGCATGGAGCTGGATGTATATGGAAAATGCTTTGGTGTCCCAAACTTAAGCTAATTTTACTTGATTTTTGCAATTTTAAGAGTACTTACCCTAAATTTCTTAACCTCCTACCTCAGTTCTAGAAATTTAGACTTGGGGTGGAGAGTCAGTTCAAATCTCAGCTCTGCCATTTAAAAAAAATTTCCTCATCAGTAAAAAAGTAATAATTATTGAATAATTATTATGTATAGGGCACTGTTCTAAGTATTAAATCTATTCATTTAATCTCCTTAATAGCTCTATAAAGTAGGGTCTGTTACTGACCTCATTTTACAGATGGAAAAATTGAGGCACAAGAAGTTTGCTCAAGGGGACAGAGTTAGTGGTAGAAACAAAATTTGAACCTAGGCAGTCTGCCTTTAGTTCCTAGCTCTTAACTAATTTGTTATATTATCTTCCTCTTTAAATGGAGATATTTACTTAATGAAGTAGTTGTGAGCACTAACCCAAATAACAAGTAAACCAATGAGCATAGTACTTGACAGTAGTAGATGTATAAATATTCTCTTCTCTTACTAGCCTTCAGCCCCACTTTAGACTGACCTTTTTGGAAATTTTCATATCTATATAAATATGTAAAAGAGGATGTGAACTAGAATAGTCTATTACTTCCTCTTTGCCTATCTAAACACTGTTTTGAGACCCATTTAAGTTTCCCTGTAGTTGAGACTCATTTTGTCTCCCTTCATTGAACTCTGTATCTTATTTCTTAATGCTTGATGATATAGAACATTCTCCAGTTGTTCCCCTGGGACAAACATTAGGATACTTGCTCTGTAGTCTACTACCATTGCATCTGCCCAGCCAGGTCAAGGAACTAGTCTGTAACTGGGAACAGGTAAGGGGATTGAATTATTGAAATCTTAGGATCTGAAACTCTTTAAGTTATATCACATCTTTTTGTTAATCCATTGATAGCTACTACCTTGTCCAGAATTGTACTCTTTTTATTTCTAGGTAGCAGTATGTGGACTTCATAAGAACATTGTTATACAGATAGCACCAAAGAAAATAAATCTCAATTATTTTCCAAAATCCCATATTCTGAAGCCAAATTTGATGCTTTGCAATTTGTGTTGTTAGGGATTATGTAACCAGTTATACATCCAATCCTGTAGGTAGTGTTCCATTTCATTTTAATTACTAAATTATTGAAAGAAGTTTAAGTAATAGATAACATGTCCATTTTGAAAATTATCCTAGTAAAGTACTTTGAACAAACATTAGTATTTCATTTCCTCAAATTAGTAACATAAGTTACTATGTGAACTATCTTTATAATTTGTAAGTTAAAATAATCACAGAAATAATTAAGGCCTTTAAATCAGGTATTAAAACAATAGGATATACTTTGAGGAACAGCAGTTGTTAAAACACTTAAACCAGTTTTATTTTAATAAATATCATGGGATTCAATTTTCTCTCTAAAGTAAGAAATGTTCTAAACAAATGTAACGAACAGAACAGCAATAACTGAGATTAAATTAAATTACATAAAGCACATGTGGTATCAGTGAGCACTTATGACTTAATGTGAAATCCTATGGGAAATTATTATTTGTTCTCCAACTAAGGAACAAAACTTTGTCCTGAGTTTATTAAATTCTAATGAAGATTCACTGAATGTTTTAACAGTGAGTTTTGTTTTTAATGGACATGTTCTGGAATATAATTTAAACTAAACTTACTATTTTTTCTTTTAGGAGTTTCCATTGCTGAAAACTACTTAGAAATAGAAGGAATGGCTAATTGTCTCCCATTCTATGGAATAATGGATTTAAAAGAAATTCTGAATGCTATATTAAACAAAAATGCAAAGGAAGTTTATGAATGTAGACCTCGCAAAGTGTTAAGTTATTTAGAGGTATGCATTAGTAACTTGTATGGGTTGGCTAGGTTTTAAGATACTTATTTCTTAATAAAATAATAAATGGTTTCAAAATAGTAAAACAGTTTCTATAAGGTTTATTACTGTTTGCAAGAAGTAATGCTATTTAAGAAAGAAAACTGCATTAGAAGTTTCACATTATAGACTAGGAGTTGTAGTAAACTCTATCATTGATTCTTATCATAACATTTCTTGGGGACATATTGAAGAAGAATCTTATGGATGAGACATTTTGTAGTTGTTTTTTTTTTAAATTTCCGTAAGTAATCCCCCTTAGAAGGAATTCAAAATTGTTCCCCATTTATACCATATACTTGATTAAAAAAAATTTTAATATGATTCTAAGCCCTGATCTTTTCAATAGCAAAAGGAGGGAAAGTGAAATTTCTAAATCATTGAACTAATGGAAACTTTTGTTTTCTTAACAATATTCATTGCAAGTGAGAAATGTAGCAATAGGTTTAAAAAATAAGTAATAAGAGGATTAAGAAATATTATAAGCACGGGGCATGGTGGCTCATGCCTGTAATCTCAACACTTTGGGAGGCAGAGGTGAGAGGATTACCTGAGCCCAGGAGTTCAAGAGCAGCCTAGGTAACTTGGGAAGACCTCATCTCTACAATTAAAAAAAGGAATATTATAAGCTTTATAATGTCCAAGTTTACCATGACAATAGTGATTGTTTGGTGGTTCTAGATATCCCTCAAGGTTAACTAGTATTAAGAACAAAACTAAGCTCTAATAAAGCTTTTCTCTCTATTTAAAAATGAGCCTTTTGAAATTTACAATACAAAGTATGCCCATTGTATTCTAAAGGACGGACTTCCTTAACTGAAAAGTCCACTTGTTACCCCTTCCTAAGAATGTATTCAGTAGTGTTCTGTGCATATTTTAGGTGCTTCGTTGTGTGGAAATTCCCACCCTATTTTGTGGGCAACTCAACATTGATAATTTCTAGAGACTTCAAAGGAATCCTTTCTTGTGATAGACTTAGTATGAACCTAAATAAGAGTTGAGGGAGTTGTGGGCAGTGTTTTGTGTACTGAAGATGATGTGGGAAGATTTCAGAACTAGCAGAAAAAAAGTGGTTAGGACTAGCTTTAATTTTTTTTTTTTTTTTTGCTAATACTGTACTTCATTATATTAAGGTAATAGTTGATGTGATTATTAAGGAAAGTGGCCTAGGGAAAAAAAGGAGAGAATCACAAGGATGCTTCCATTTAAAGTCAAGCTGAATAAGATGAATCAGAGAGAAAGATAGGAGAGTGAAAGGAGAACCAAGAGGAGTGGATATAAAAGTCAAGGAAGGAAAGAAATTTAAAAATAAGCAGTATCAAGTTTTTAGGGTAATAGTTGTTAGAAGATCATCAGGTATGGCTGCTAGATGCCAGTGGGAACCTTGAAGAGAACCATGATGGCAAAGTACAGTTGTCCTTTGGTAGACTCAGGATTGGTTCTAGGACCACCAAAAGATACCAAAATCCAAGTATACTCAAGTCCCACAGTCAGCCCTGTGGAACCCACAAAAACAAAAAGTGGGTCCTCTGTATATGCAGATTTCACATCCCATTATACTGTGTTTTTGATTGGAGTTTGGTTGAAAAATGTCTGTGTATAAGTGGACTTACGCAGCTAAAACCCATGTAGTTCAAGGGTCAGCTATAGCAGGGATTGACAACATTTGCTAATGGTTAGGGAAGAGTAGTGGTGGAAAAGTAGGCAGCAAGGTAGTGAAAGGAAGGTAAGAGTATGTTTAGCGTGTTTGTATTGAATTGGTAGAAAAGACTGACAATGAAAGATTGCAGAGCAAATATTCCAAAAAAGGCAAGAAGGAAGATAGGATATTGATATAAGCTTTATAAAGGAGAAACTGTCTATGAGTCAAGAGGAGAAGAGGAGGAAAAGTGAATGGATCTAAAAATAAATGCTGTAAGTGCTATACGGTTGATTAGAAAGGAATATGTCCATGTGTCATTAAGGGCTCATAAAGAGCTTACATTTGTATCGGATCCAGATGGACAGTTTTGTGATTCTACAACATTGCTTAGTAGAATTTGTTCTCAGTAGAATTTGTTCAAGGGTACAGGATTAGTAAGATGGATATGGTGGAAGAACAGGAGAAGGGTGAGTGAAGGAAAATTGAACATATTATGTTTGGGAAACTGTGTTATGTCCTAGAAATATATAAAGATAAATTAGATTCTAGTAGGGATCTAAAAGGAATGCAAGTTGCTAAAGCTAGCATTTGTAATGTTGCACTTACAATTTGTACTTTACTTAGGGAGTGATGACAGAGGGTGTTGGTGAGTCAGAATAAGGAAGGCCTGGAGAGATTAAAGGTCAAAGTGAAGAAAATAGTTCACTTGAAATAAACAAGTAAGATAATTGGAAATAAAATGAGTGTGTGGTTAAAGAGTCAAGATCTTTGCAATACAACTAATTTTTTTTTGTTGTTGTTGAAGTACAACTATTTTTTAAAAATAAATCTTAAAAGGAGCCAGCTTTGCTAGCACTGTCTTATCCTCAAACACTTAGTTCTCCCTATCTCAGAAAATCAGAAAACAGCATAGCATACAAGAAATATGGATACTATCCTTGATTCTGCATTCCTCATAACCAGTCCATCAGAGTCTTCTTGACTTTCCAATTCATATCAGAAATCTTTACTCTTCCCTCCATCTCAGCTGCTCTCACCCTAGTCCAAGCCTCTCATCAAGGTTGCAGTGGTTGCCTGCAAGACTTGCTGCATTTTTTCTTGACTTGCCGGCCTCAAACCATACTTTTAACCAGCAGTCAGACTAATTGTTTTTAAAAAGTGAAACAAATGCAGGCTTTTGCTTAAAAACCCTCTTGTTACTTTCCTGTACCTTCAGATTACAACCCCAATTGGTTACCCTGTCCTTGAAGGTGATCTGGCCTCAGCCTAACTCTCTTACCTTGTTCTTTCCTTCCCTTTGACTATAATGTTACATCCACACTGAACAATTAATTTTTTTTCTGTTCTCTTTGCATGAAATGCTTTTTTTCCCCCATGATCTTTGCATTATGGTTAGCTTAAAGCCATCTCCTCAGGTAAGCTTTTGACAACCACACACATTCTATTAGGTTGCCTAATTTAATTTTATGCATCATTTATTCACTAAAATGTTCTGGGTTTTTTGCACTAGAATGTAAATTTCAGAAGAGAAGGGGTCTTGTTTTCTTGTTTATCACTATATCCCTAGAACCTAAAATATAGTTGGGCTTAAGATTTGTTGAGTGAGTTAATAAGATGAACATAAGCACAAAGGTGGGAACAACAGGTGCTGGAGGATGGCAGGAAGATGGGAGGAGGAATAAAGGGCACACAACTACACAATGGGTACCAGGTCCACTATTGAGGGATAGAGGCTGGCTAGAAGCCCAAACCTCACCTGCACACAATTTACTTATGTAGTAAACCATCACATGCACCCTACAATTCTAAAATAAAAAATAAATAAAATTAAAAGATGAATATAATCAATTTTCTGTCTTCTTGCTATGATAATACATTTTCAGCTTTACATTATATTGTGGTAAAATGTAATACTTTCCCTTCACAGGGAGAAGCGGTGCGTCTATCTAGACAATTACCCATGTACTTGTCAAAAGAGGACATTCAAGACATTATCTACCGAATGAAGCACAAGTTTGGAAATGAAATTAAAGAATGTGTTCATGGTCGCCCGTTTTTTCATCATTTAACCCATCTTCCAGCAACTACATGATTAACTATGTTTAGTTACTGTTGAATTTGATTTTGTCCTAAAACGAGTCAGTTTTTAAAACCTCTTTGTATTATCATGTGTCAAATGGTTATTTTATGAGGATTCACTGACGTGTTTGTACATTAACAAAAGTTTCAAACATTGTAGAAAACTTAAATAAACTAATATAGACTATTCATTTTAGTCTCAAGAACTAGCCTTCATAATAATTATTTGTTGTAGAATCCAAATTGGAAACTAGGTAGTATCCTTGCATGGTTGATTTTATAGATCAGCCCTGTGCAAGGAGAAATCACATATCACAGATACTGAGCTGACAGATATTGCCAATCTTGATTGAAGTAGAATGGAGAGACAGAGTGAAAGAAAGTGAGAAAATGAAGTTCAAAAGAAGAAAACATAACTTCAGAAATCTTGTCATTTAATTCCATGTTGGGGGTAATAGCTTAGACTTTGCTGACTCTTACATGGTAATTATTGAAATTTGGGGTCAAAATTTGTCAGAGAACATGGGAAGAATTAGATTTGTAACAGAAAATTTAGGTGATTATTGAACATTGTGTGCCTTCAAAAATTGGTCCCACGGTGCCCCAAAATACTTCTATGATATTCAGTATATTCCATTAATGAATATATTTTGTGTAAATTAAGAGTTGTTATACTGGATACACACACCCTCTCTCATAATTCTCAAGGGTCATGTTTAAATTCCTAAGATTTCCAAGAGATACAAATGTGACGCCTGGAATTTTACTTGTATTTTTGTTTGTTTTTTTGAGTTGGAGTCTCACTCTGTCACTCAGACTGAAGTGCAGTGGCCGCTTCCGGCCACCGCAGCCTCAACCTGCTGGGCTTTGGGCGATCCTTCCACCACAGCCTTCCAAGTAGCTGGAACTATAGGCACACGCTACCACACCCGGCTAATTTTTTGATTTATTGTAGAGATGAGGTCTCGCCAAGTTGCCCAGGCGGGTCTCGAACCCACGGGCTCAGGCAATCCACTCACCTCAGCCTCCCAAAGGCGTGGGATTACAGGCTGAGCCAGCCCGGCTGTGGAATTCCACCTGTAATTTGACCTCCTCTGCCGACACCATCCTGTTACCCTGACCCAAAATACTTTTTTCCTCCTGATTATCCCTTTTATAAACTTGGGGTCCCTCTCTGGGAGAACTTAACTGGGAAAGCTGAAAGAAGGGGAGGATGACGAAATTTACATCATACATTTGCACTAGCCCTACGCAAGACTGTAGACTCAGTTTTTTGCCGGTTTTGTCTATGGTCCTACAACAGCCTTGTAGGTGAAAAAACTTTCTCTGACCAGTCCTGAATTGTGACAAGTCAGCTGGGTGGGAATGGCAGCAAGTATCTACCACCTCTTGCTGGGTAGACACTCACCTTGTATGAGCTCGTTTAATTGTCACAACAATTTTTAAATGGTAGGTACTATTGAGACTAATTCCGAACCTTGTCTTAGCCGCCATTACACAGCCTGCCTTGAGAAATAGGCCCTGCAGAGAGTTACTCGAGTCAAAGTCTAGATATTTGGTATGGGAGGGGGAAAAGCATCACACTCCCCGACACCCACCCGCTTTAGGGAATGTATCTGAAGAAGTCAAGCTTGTGCCACAATGTTTTTCTTAGGGAGTCGCAGAGGCGAGCGAGATGGCTGCTTGTCCCAGAAGGAGCTTCGGTTGAGGGTCTCGTGTCGCCCACGGAGCCGACCTGGCTCGCTACCCTGACGCGGAAGCCCCGCGCCGCCCTCCCCATGTCCCACAAGCCCTTGCTGCAAACCCATCACCACCCACGGGACAAAATGGCGGGAGCCGGCCTGGCTCTCGAAGGGGACGGCCAAGTCCCTCGGCCACGAGCCACCTCATTTCTCACGTGCCGCCCCCTCCGCCCCTCGCAAGCTCTTGAAGCAGCCCAGCTCTTCCCGCGGCGCAAATGACTGGAGCGGGTGCGGCAGGTGGCAAACCCTGGCTTCCAGGATGGAGGTAAGGGCTGGCTGCGGCTGGGAGGTTGGCTCTGCTAATTAAGGGAGAAGTGGCCGGCATGGTGCCTCAAGCCTATAATCCCAGCACTGTGGGAAGCCGAGGTGAGAGATTACCTGAGTCCAGGGGCTCGAGACCAGCCTGAGCAACTTGGTGAAACTAGTCTACAATAAAGCTAAAAAATGGGCGTGGTGGCGCGTTCCCGTAGTTCCAGCTACTTGGAAGGCTTAGACCTGAGAATCGCCTGAGCCCAGCAGGTCAAGGGTATGATGGCCGTGAGCATGCTGCTGTCCTGCAGCTTGGGCGACAGAGTGAGAGTCCCACTCAAAAAAAAAAAAAAAGGAATGCCTCATCTCAAGCGACCCATTTGCTTCCTTTAGACTACGAGTTGGTGGAGGCCTGGGCTTAGGTGGAAGACCTATAAGGTGTGAATCCCTCAAAGTGCTCTTGAGACCAAGAGTATCACCGAGGATCCTGGCCTTGGCTATGGCCACAGGGATGACGCCAGAGCCCCTATTGAAGTGAGGTTCGCAGACATCTACTAGGGTAAACATTTTGCCGGGAAGATTGCCATCTATAGTCCAGCCAGGCCTACGAAGTCTTAGATATTTAATATACGTTGAAAAATGTTAGACTGGAATTTATGTGGACAGATTGTTGTTGCTTTCATTGCCGATTTGATTCTCAGTGATTTTATCCAGATTTTTGTGACTCAGATTGCAGGAATTACAGTCTATCCCACCACAGTGCACATTTCTTAACTAAAGATGTAGATATGACCCATTTTCCTCTCCATACACTTGGCTCATCTGTTTACTTTTATTTTCATTGTATTTTTGCAAGCTTCCTCCAGTCTTTTTTGGAGCGCAGAAGTGGGGAGTAGGAGCTGATAAAATAGATTTGACATTTCACAGTGCTTAATGCAAGGGAAATAATACATTTGGCACCTAAATGTCGATCACTAGACCAAAGTTACCAGGCAAATTAAAATACCTGTAAGGATATTACACTATTTAAGAAACTAGACTTGTTTTTGGAGTTGGGTCATTTTGGGCAAACCGGTGTGTTCATAGGTTTATAGTGGCTAAAACGAGTCTTTAAGGGATCCAATCGAAATAGAAGCCCATAGTAACTCGATGATATACCTGAGTGCTCACAGCTAGTCTAGTACTCTACTAGTTGATATTATAAACAAAAGAAAGGTCAGTACTGAAAAAAAAATTTTACTGAAAAGCCACATAAAAAAATGACATGAGATTATCAACTACTTTTTCCCTTCATAAGCATAGATAATCAAGAGTTAACTATTAACCTGTAGGTCTTTTGGTAAATCTCACCTAAACTTTAAAAGTTTAATCTTCAAGCCTTCTTTATTGTTACCAGTCATACTAGCAGTACCATTGAACTCTCACCATAGCTACCTGAGGTTGTTTCCTCTGCTTTCTTGATTGTTTTATCACAACTTTTATTCTCCTTTAAAGTACTACAAATTAATGTAAAGAGCTTTTCTTTCACTTTTAAAAGTCTGTTCCAGTGGTTATCAAATTTGAGAATGTATCAGAATTACCTGGAGGGCTTATTAAAACACTAATTGGTAGGCACCATACCAATGTCTGGAATGGATCTGAAAATGTTTATTTCTAACACATTTCCAGGTGATTGATGCTAATACTACTGGTCAAAGAGCCACACTTGGGGAACTACTAGCCTATTCTGTGTATCGAAATTCCCCAAACAATCTCATATCCATCTCTTTAAGCTCTTACTGCCTTACTAAAATCTGCTCTCTCAAACAAACAAAACCAAACAACAACTAGGACTTAGAAGACTTCACCTGGATGATGTTTTTAATTTTTAAATTTTATAGATGGAGGTACAATTCAGGATTATGTACATAAGTGGTCATCATACAGGTGAAGTTTGGGTCTCACTTTGCCCGGTTTGATATCAGGTACCTTTATTAATGTTATTGCCTCCCCCCCCACCGCCAGTCCCAGCTCTTTGCCCTCCCCACTACTGCCAATCCCTTTCTTATAGTATTGTGATAAATGTTCAGGGTCTGCTTATGAGTGAGAACATGTGGTACTCAGTTCTTTGCTTCTGTGATCACTGAGTATTATAGATTCTAAATCCATCCAAGTTGCTGTGAAGTCCATAATTTTGTTCTTTATGACTGCGTAATATTCCATTGTGTATTTGTACCACTTTTTTTTTTTTTTTTTTTTTTTTTACCTAGTCTACTTTTGATGGGCAGCATTGTTGGTTCTGTGTTTTTGCTATTGTGAATAATTCTGCAATAAATGTGTGTGCAGGTATTTTTTTTATAGAATGATTTTAGTTCCTCCAGGTATATTCCCAGAAGGGGGAACTGCTGGGTCCTATGGAAGGTCGATTTTTAGATATTTTAGGAATTGCTATACTGTTTCCACAGAGGTTGTACTTGTTTACACTCCCACCATCAGTGTAAAAGTATTCCTTTCTCCTCACATCCTTTCCACTATCTGTTGTTTTTTGAGTTATTGGTGATGGCCATCCTGACGAGTTAGGTGGTATCTCAGTGTGGTTTTAATTTGCATTTCTTTGATTATTAGTGAGGTTGAGTATTTTTTAATGGATCTGTTGGCTGCTCATATGTCTTGAGAAGTGTCTATTCATGTCTTTTGCCCACTTTTTAATAGGACTGTTTTTTTTTCCTTTTACATGTTTGAGTTCCTTGTAGATCCTGGATGTTAGGCCTTTGTCAGATATACAGTTGGCAGATATTTTTTCCCAATGATTTATTTTCATTGTTTTTTTTTTTTTTGAGTTGGAGTCTCACTTTGTCACCCAGACTAGAGAGCAGTGGCCGCTCCCTGCCACTGCAGCCTCAACCAGCTGGGCTCCGGCAATCCTTCCGCCTCAGCCTTCCGAGTAGCCGGTATTATAGGCATGTGCTACCATGCCCAGCTGATTTTTTGATTTATTGTAGAGATGAGGTCTCGCTGCCCAGGCAGGTCTCGAACCCGCGGGGTCAGGCAATCCACTCACCTCAGCCTCCCAAAGGCACGGGATTACAGGCTGAGTCACCAAACCCGGCTTTTCATTGTATTTTTGCAAGCTTCCTCCAGTCTTTTTTGGAGGGCAGAAGTTGGGAGCAGGAGCTGTTTTAAAAATAAAATAGATTTGACACTTCACAGTACCTAACAGA